TGAACACCTCCAGTGATGGACAACCCACAACTTCCCTAGGCAGTCTGTTCCCCTGCCTATTCTCTCAGTGAAGAAGTTTTTCTGGATATCTGATCTAAATTTGCTTTGCTGCAACTTCAAGTCATTGGTCTGCATCCTCTCTGCAGCATGAGAAAAAAAGGTGCTTTCCTTCTTCCTTATGGCAGCCTTTCAGGTATTGAAGACTGCTATCATGTCCCCTCTTATTCATTTCTTTAGCAAGCTGAAACTGCTTAGCCTTTCCTCACATGACTTGCCTTCCAAGCCCTTGATCATCTTTATTGCCCACCTCTGGACCCTCTCTAACTTCTTCATGTCCTTTTTAAAATGTGGACCCAAGAACTGCATGCAGTACTCCAGACAAGGCCTAAATCAGTGTTGAGTAGAGGCACTATCACCTCCCTTAATACTTCTATAGATGCAGCCCAAAACTGCATTTACCTTGTGTGGCTGCCGCACACTGAAGACTCATTGAGTTTGTTGTCTACCAGTACTCCCAAGTCCTTTTCTATAAAAGCTGCCATCCAGCCAGGTGTCCTCCATTTTATATTCATGTTTTTCGTTATTCCTCCCAGGGTGTAGCACCTTGCATTTGTCTGCATCAAACTTCATCTTGTTAGCTCTAGCCTGACTTTCCAATCTGTAGAGATCCTTCTGAGTTGCACTTGCATTACAATCCTTCCCAGTTGTGTGTCATCCACAAACTTGCTCAAGAAGCTTTCTATGCCAGCATTGAAAGAGTTACTAAATGTGTTGAGCAGCCTCAGGCAACCCCATGGGACTCCACTCAGAACCTCCTGCCATTATGACATGGACCTGTTAATAATTACCTTTTGCTTATGGCTATTGAACCTGTAATCCATCTACCTTTTAGTAGTTTTATCCAGCCCACATTTCTCCAGTTTGTTTATGAGAAGGTTGTACAAAAGCACAACCTTGTCAAAAGCCTTGCTGGAGTCCAGATATAGTGATATACTATATCCTCAGCATTTTCTTCATCCACCCAAGTAGTTACTTTGTCAAAAAAGGAGATTAGGTTTGTTTGATACAATTTGTTCTTCCTATTCCATGCTGGCTGCTTGTGATCAGCCTTTCCTCCTTCAGATACTTGCCAATGGCCTTCCTTAAGATTTGCTCTAGTAACTACTCTGTAGTTCCCTGGGACTTCCTTCTTGCTGATTTAAAAAAAGAGGGGCACTACATTAGCCCCTTTTCAGTGCTCTGGTACCTGGCCCATCTCCCATGACTTCCTGAAGCTCTTTGCCAAGGGCTCTGAGATATCCTCTGCCAGTTCCTTCAGGACCCTGTGATGAAACTCATTCGGCCCTACTGATTTTAATTTATTCAAACCCAACAAAAGCTCTCTGACTGTCTCTTGGTATCTCTTCCCTCATTTTGCCCTTCTTCTTATCCACATAATTCTTATTAGGTGCCTGGCAGCTTAATTTTTTTGTGATGACTACTACAAAGTAGTTGTTGAGTAGTTCTGCCTTCTTTGCATCTTCAGTTAGTTCTCCCTGGCTTGGTAACATAGGACCCACAGCTTCATTGGTCCTTCTTTTCTGGCCAACTTACTTATAGAATCTCTTGTTGTCCTTAACCTTCTTTTGCCAGGTGCAGCTCATTTATTTATCTTTACTTTCCTGATCATGTCCCTGCAGGTCCTTTTTGGTTTCCTGGTACACGTCCTTGGTGACCTACCCATTCTTCCATTGGTTGTGAGCTTTCCTTCTGTGTTTGATGCATTTTAGAAGTTCTTTGTGCAGCTATGTTGTTCTCTTGTCTTGCCATTCTTCTTGTACTTCCATTGTGTTAGGACAATTTCTTATTGGGCTTCCAATACTGTGCCCCTTTGAGGGATATAGGTGCCCAGGGGGAGTTGGGCACCTATACTCTATCTGTCCTCCCATGACATCATGGTCATTGGCTCCTTCAGTTGGATGAAATGCACTTTTTTTAAATCTAATGCCCTAGTTTTGCTGAGCTCATGCTTTCTCCGTCTCAGGATCTGGAATATTAGCATATTGTGATCACTTCCTTCCAAAATTGCCCATCACCTTCACATCCTCCATCAGTTCTTACCTGTTGTCAGGACTGTCCAACATAGATGATTCTCTAGTTTTTATTTCTGGAAGAGAAAGTTGTCCTCTGCACAAGTTAGGAACTAGCTTGAAATTTGATGTTTGGCTGCATTGCTTTTATAGAAGGTGTCTAGAAAATGGAAGTCTCCCATCAGTACTATCCCATAGCTTTTGAATAGATTTGTCACCTGCTAGACTACTGCCTGATCCACCTCCTTCTCCTGATTAGGTGGCCTATAATAAATCATTACCATTATATCAGTGCTGCATCTTTCACTTTTCATCTTCACCCAAATGCATTCTGCTTTGCTGTCATCTTCCTGTGAAGCAGGAATAAGTGTTTGTGTTTTTGATATACAAGGCAACACCACCAGCTTTTCTCCCAACTGTCCTTCTGAAACAGTGTGTAAACTTCAGTGTTCGTATTTCAGTTATAAGAGCTGTCCCACCAGGTTTCAGTGATGCCAGTCAGATCATAGTTCTTTTTAGAGGGTGCAGCTTCCAACTCATCTTGTTTATGCCCCATACTTCTCACATTTGTGTACATGCACAGGATGTATTTTGCATTTTGACCTCCTCACTTCCTTTTTCTTACACTTATTGCAGTCCTGTAGCTCTCTGGCCCTTTCCCAGAGTTGAGTTACTTCTTTCAGTCCTTTCCCCATACTCTTGCTGGAGGGTTTTGATCCCCTGTGAAACCTAAATTTAAAACCCTCCTTACTAGATTGGTCAGATGATGCCAAAATATGCTCTCCCTCATCCTCATTTGATGGCTCCCACCAAATAGTAGCCCTCCTCCTAAGAACATCCACCCATTGTCAAAGAAGCCAAAGCCTTCATGTTGACACCACTGCCTTAGCCATGCGTTTACTTCCAAGATAGAGGTCCAGGCAGAGACCATTTTGCCTTTCATGGGAAGGGTTGATGAGAACACCACTTGTGCTCCAAGCAACTTAATCCTCCCTTTATGAGCCAGGAGCCTCATAGTCACTTGTGATCTGGTCAGTGTCCCTCCTTTGCTCTCTGGTGTGCACACATCCTGTAAGAATAAAAGAAGTGGAGGCAGGGAAGACACCACAAGAATTTGCATGCCAAACACTTGCACCAGGTGCAGGTGGGTACTTACCCACGCTCCTACCCACACACAGACACATAAGCACAGTGTCCTGTTCCCTTCTGGGTGAACTCTCTCTCTGTTTGCTTCCCTCTGTTCCTTGGTCCTATGGTTGCTAGGGGCTGCCTTTTTATAAGGCTGCCTATCCCAGCTTCATCCCTCAGTTACCTAAACCAGCCCCACCCAAAACAAGCCCTGTCTCACCCAGTCACTCCAGCAGGGGAAAGAAAAGAACAAAGAGAGAGGGAAGCAGTTACATACCACAGGTGGGGGAGATAAAAAACCCAAACACACCAGGCACTAGGCAAACACTCTTAAGCAGCAGTCAGCCCCCCCTAAGTCATTAGCACGGAGAAAGGCCTCGTCAAGGCTGTCTTACACTTGAGCTGCTTATCCCAGAGCCACTGCTCTCTGCTTACTTTAATCTGACTGAGCCATACACCAGGTAAGGCCTCGACAGTGATGATAGTGGAAGAAGCACTTCCCTCAATTTGCAGGTGACACTCTTATCAATTCAACCTAGGATGCTGTTGGCTTTTTTTTTTTGCCACAAGAGCATATTGTTGGCTCACATTCAGCTTATGGTCAAGGACCTGTAACCTCCAGGTCCTTCTTTGGAGTACAGCAGCCTAGCCATTTATTCATTCCCCAGTCTGTATTTGTACATGCAGTTATTCTGCCCCAAGTGCAGGCCTTCGCATTTTTCCTTGCTGAATCCCATTTGGTTTGGTTGATTGTGGACCATTTTTCCAGTCTGTTCAGGTCATTCTGGATCCAAGTCCTGCCTTCCAGCTAACTTGGCATTATCTGCGTATTTGCTAAGTGTTTGCTTAGTCCTGTCATTTAACTCATTAATGAGGATGCTGAACAGTACCAGACCCATGACCTCTTGCCAACTAGACATTGAGCCATTGATGACTACTGGTAGAGCACAGTAATCCAGCATCCTCCCTCTCCTCTCTTCCCCCTCCCCAAATCCACAGAGCTTCTCACCTTATCATAAAAAAAAATCAGGTTGGTCAGGTATGACTTGCTCTTGGTGAATCCATACTGGCTGCTTGTGATCACTTTGTTATCCTCTAGGTAGTTCACAATAAATTGCTTGAGGACTTGCTCCATGATCTTTCCAGGTATAGAGGTCAAGCTGACTGGTCTGTAGTTTCCCACATCCTTCTTTTCCTCTTTCCTAAAGGTGGGCATTAGTTGCCGTTTTCCAATCATCCAGGACCTCACCTGGCTCCATGAGGTTCTCAAATGGCTTTGAAATTACCTCAGCCAATTCCTTCAGTATCCTAGGATGCGTTCCACCTGACCCTGCTGACTTGAATGTCTGTGGTTTCTGCAAGTAAACCCTAAGTGTGTACTACCCCTGTATTGCCTGTCTCCCTGCTGCAATAGCTACTACCTGGCTGGGCTGGGGCAAGCTTTTGCTCTGTGCCCCAGGCCACGGCAGAGTTGGAGCCAGCGGATAAGCAATGGTGGGGAGGTAGAGGGGGAAGACAAGTGGCCAGAGGCAGCAGGGAGGGCCAGGTCAGGGGGCTGGGCACCGGGGAGGGTAGGTGCCAGTGGGGTGCAGGCACAGCTCCCCCACCTCTTGCCCTCCCACTGCCTGCTCCTCAAGAAGTCACTTCAGTACTTGCTTTTGCCAAGTACATTTGAGGCAGGTCTGCAGATTTAGTGCTCTACATTGACCAGTGCTGCTGCTGCCCCTCCAAGAACCCTGCTGTATGTGAAACTAATCATGGTGAGAATGCAGTATGTTTAATGGGGGATTTTCTTTCTTTCAGCCTTTTTTCCAACTTGTAAAACTACGGAAACTTGGACTTAGTGATAATGAAATTCAGCGGCTCCCTCCAGAAATAGCAAACTTCATGCAGCTGGTGGAACTTGATTTGTCTCGAAATGGTAAGCTAGAGTGTTTGCTTTTGTTCAGCTCTGCACTGTATGTGATAAAATGTTATTCGAATGCTGTAGATTACTGGGATTTTTGGTCTGAAGCCTTTAAGTCCTGCTGAACGTGCTGCTGGGTAGCATTTGGAGAATGCTGATGTCTGAAGTGTGGCATATGCTTCTACGTGTATTGAGGACCTAGCACTAAAGTTATGTTTTAGTGATAAAATACTGTTTTGCTCTAGCTTCTCCCTTTTGAAAGGTTGTTACTGGTTGAAAACATATTTTGAAAGTGTCCTTTGTCATAGTGTGCATGCATGTGGTGAAGCTGTTTATATGTGTTTAGACAACAGAAATGGATACGTGAAGGAAAAAGGTCCATTCTGGTCCATTGTGCTGGGAGCCATAGTCTATTCTTCTTTTTCCTCCTGTCCCCTGACCTTTCCCTGTGCTCTGTAGCAAGAGGAGGAATTATTCTATTTGTTCCTCTCTGCAAGTAGCAGTAGGGAGCCATAGTAGGTTTTTTCAGTTCTTGTTTAAGCTGCTGCCCCAGCAGTGACAGTAAACTTGGCATGTCCCTTGTCAGCATTTTATAGCCAGCTGAACTCTGATGTTCATTACTAGTTTAAGCCTAGCAAATTAGTGTTCATTGGTGGATCATGGTTTCTTGTTGCCCTTAAAGACTGAGAAATTAGAAGGTTTAGCACATTAAAACCATGGCAGGTGTGCAGTGCTGATGCATTTCCAGTTTTACCAAAAGAGCAGAAGTCAGCTGGCTGTAGAGGCAGTCATGTCTGTCCCTTTACATTCAGAGTGTTGCTTCAGGATGTTCCTTTCATGGAGCAGAGAAATGAATAAAGAGTGAAACTCTGTATAAGGAGGAAGACAATAAATTCAGGAGACCTAGAGAAATTGTGTTAACTTGTAAATGAAAGCATTGAAACACCAGTTTCACTTGTAGAAACACTCAGCGCTTGTCCTCAATACCTCTCTTTGATGTTTTCGAGTGATGGTGCAAGCGTCCCTTTTCTGGACAGTCACTAATGAAATGAAAGTCTCTAAACACTTAATGGCAGACTTCCACTGCCCTACCTTACTTCATGAGTATTTTCAAAGTGTTGTAAGGCAAAGGAAGAAGTCTGAGTAGCTGACCAGGAAATATCTGGGAGCTGGAATTAATGCTTTCATTTAATTAAGACATATTGTCAAATGGTGCGTCTTGGCTTTGATGTAATTGGCTTCATGTGCAGGACTTGGTTGCATAGGGTTGCCAAGGATTTTAACTCTGAGATTGTGTGTTGGCTCAATTCATTTCTCTTTTCAAATCAATAACTACAGAAGAACTGTGGATCTGAGCCTTAAGCAGCTTGACTTAAAAGTTGGCAGCAGACTTCAACTTAAGAGGAACAGATGGTGTCAATGTTTTTGTGCATGTGTAGGGGTGTTTGTGTGTGATTACAAAATGTTTCCTTGTGTAGTAACCTCCAAAGTGATGACTTGGACTACAGCAGGTTGCAGGAAGCAATTTCTCTCCTGTATCCAAGGTCGGGTCTTAATTACCCATTTTATTGCATTATTTTCTCTTCCTTATGATTCATTACCCAATGTGATTGGCTTCACTTAGCTCAGTTTAGCCCTGTTTCATATAAGTGCTTTGCAACTTAGCTTACACTAGTTTTTACTGGATTATAGTAGGAAAATCTTGACTTTTGTGTTCCTAGCTTTGTTACTAAGCATCACTTTCTTTAGGTGAGAATCCAGACATATCTAAGGTTCTGCCTACTGAGCAATAAGCTATTAATCAATTTTTGTTATTAAACTACTTGGCAAGAGGAGCAGATTTGTTTTGCTTTTAAACTTGGGAAAACTTAGGAAAAACTGCTTTTTGCAATGTGGCATACTTCATTAATAGGAAAGTGTAGTGTTGACATCTTAACTCGGGAAATAAGAGACCATTGTTCTGTTTTTGTCCTAGCTGTATGATAACTGCATTAATTGCTTTTATTTTTGACTGTCCTGCTTCCTTTGGAGATGGAATATAAATATTAGCTCTTTATGACCTGAGGTAACACTGCTGAGTAGTGCTGCCTGACAATTGCCCCTTATGTTGTGGGGACATTTTGGAGTCCATCATGGCATAAGGAGGAGGTGAAGATACTGAATGAGCAAAATACTTCCATCTCCCTCCTAAAAAAATTGTCCTGTTGCTGCTTTTCTCCTTCTTCCTGAAGTGAGAAAATGAGACATAGGTTGTTATAAGATATGTGGAACACAGAACCTAACTGCAGACCAGAAAGGTGTGCCAAGAGCCATTGGCAACATCAACAAAAAACGTAGATTATGTTTTTAATTCTTAGGCCTTCTATGTGTCAGGATTGACATCAGTGGAATTTGTCACCTCTGCTAGCCTTAGAGACGTGGCGTACAGTGGAAATTTGTTCCAGGATGTTGTGGGAAGACTTGGTAGCCATTCCCCTTATGCCTTTGCTCCTGGCTTTTACTACTTGCTGGAGGAGCTGGAACTGTTTTTCTTCTCTCATGTCTGCCACCTGAGTGCCTGATCTCCTAATTTAAACTTGCAGTGCCAGGGTTTGTAGGTCTCTGGGATATCTTTTATTCCCCAATTATGTAGTAACTGGGACACATCTACATGTGCAGTGTAATGAGCATGAATTTCCTGTGTGGTAAATGTGTGATTTACTGTGCAGTAAATTCATGCTCATGAAATTTTGCCCGGGAATGTGTCTACACAAGTACCTGTGTTGGGTGCAATCTAGTCCAGGGCTGTTTCTGCCCTGCTGCAACAGCCAGGGAAAGATCCAAGTTCCCCCAGGTGCCAGCTCTGAGCTGGCAGGGGCACCGTGGGCATCCCCATGCTGGCGCGGCCTCTGGGTAACCCTGGGCTGGCAAGAGGCTCGGGGGGTCAGACCTGGGCTCCGGGCAGCGTGGGTTGCAGGAGAAGCTCCCAGCCACGTGGAGCTTGGGGTCAGCTGTGGTTGGTCCTCCTGGGCAGAGAACAAGGAGCAGGCAGGCATGGGGGTGCAGGGGCTTTTGCCTGCCCCTTGCCAAAGGCTCTGCAGGCACACTGGATGCATCCCTGCACTGGTGTAGTAACCATGCAGGGGACAGCAAGTCTGGAGGCATGCTAGTGTGGGCCCCTGCTCTGTAGGAGCTCCAAAGCCAGGCATAGCTGGTGACAGGCCAGGCCAGGCTCTGCCATTATACCAGGTACTGCAGGGGAACAGGGCCCCGGATGGACCAGCTGGGGACAGGATCAGCCTCTCAGTAGTGCGAGGGCAGCTTCCAGCCCTGGGGCTGTTGTGTGGTCCCTGCTGCCCTGAGCCCCAGCTCTTCCCCCTCAGCTACAGGACGTGCACCATAGGAAATCTCTGGGTTCCACTGCCATTGCAATCACAGATCCCAGGGGAAGGAAGGATGGGTACAGTATGGATGTTACAGGCCCGTCCTCCCCAGCTGGTGGCTTGGACCCTCACGCGTTCCTCCCAGGAGTACTGGCTACAGCTGAACCTGAGCTCCAGGGGCTGGGAGTTGCCAGGGACAGCTTCCCCCACTCCTTGGAGCTTGGGGCATTGCCAGGCAGCAGTGTGGCCCCCGCTGCCTGGGCTGACCTGCAGCAATCTCCTGGTCTGCGTCCATATGTGCAGTATATGTATATCTATTGGTACTGGCAAACAGCACATTAGACTAATGCACAGTAATTGCCATGTACGTGTAGACGGTGATACTTTACCATGCATTAGATTAGTCTAATGCACAGTAAAGTGTCTCATATAGATGTTGGCTGCTGATTAGGAAGACTAATACTAAAAATCCCAGTAAAGGACATATTGCACACAGTTTTTTCACTGATTCTTTGTTTGTTTGTTTGTTTGTTTTGTTTTTGAGATTTAAGTTCAGATGTGCTTTTGTAAATGACTGGAAATGTAGGGAATATATACATGGAAAATTAGCTTAAGCCAGCATTCATACAGAAGGTTAATGTGCTTTATTTAATGTACTTCCTGTTCACATCTTTAGTTAATTTCCTTAACCTCCCATGTTGTCACATTTCTAGGAAGAACTTGTCTGACAAATGTTGCCATTCGTGGAATGGGTGGGCATTCCAGTTCCTATGGAGGAGCCTATGCTTTAGGATTGCTTCTGCCCCCTGAACAGAGGTTTCTGGAGAAGCTGCTAACCACGTGCCAGTCATAGCAGCATTTACCTTAATTTATGCTGGGTGTGAGGTGGGGGTCAGTGCTATGGTGGTGGCAGCTAACTTTTTTTCTATCCTTGCAGTTCTCTGTGTAGGTGTAGTTCTTCCACCAGTTACTTCAAAACATGCTGAGGGAATATGTGAATGTACTCGTTTCCTAGACAAATCTTATAACTCTTGTGCATATGGATGTTTGAAGTGCAGAGAACTGGCAATGAGCTGATGGCCAGGGGGAAGGCTTATTCTGTTGGGAAACCTATGCCATTACTATCTGTGGATTCTTTTCAGGCTACTAAAGTTCCTTGTTGTTGCATGTGAGCTTTGAATGAAAGCAGGCCTTGCCTGGCTGCATAGGTCTGGTATATGATTTCTTTTCCTAGGAATGCCCAGGGAGGCTTCTTACTCTAACTTATCTTGCTGCCCTTTCAAGTTGACCTTCAGTGTGACCCCTTCCTCCTCTGTATTTTCACAACAGTGTTGTGGATCATTTTCTAAATAGAATTATCCCTTAATCTCATGCCACATAGCAGCCTGTATCATCCATGATTTAAGTTTTTTATCTTCACTTCCCAATCACTGTGGCTTAATATGTCCAAGGATTGGATTTTTGTTTGAGAGGGAGGGTCGTTTCAAATTAGAGCTGGGAAGTTTGCATTGGACTTGGCCACTTAGACTTGCATTGTACCACATAGACATATTCTGTCTATAAACAGCCAGTCAGGAGTCTAGGTTGCAATACTAGAAGCTGTATAGCTGCATTAGTACAGCAGCGTTTGAGATGAGGCAGGGTCAGCTCCGA